GTCATGGGGGGACATGGGGGCCAGCGCTGAGATCTGTGTTGGGATCTACCCTGACCGCTCTGCTGGCGGGTGGGTCACAGTCTCCCCGCCAGACTCCACCTGCTGGTGAGCCAGTGGCTGTAGTTTTGCTGTTTGCCGCTGGTGGACTGTTGCAGGTGGAAACAGGCTTGGAACAGAAATAGCTCCGGGACAGAATGGACATTGGGACTAATTAAATGACGGACTGTGAGCTTCAGTGTGTCTGTCAGTGTTGTGCAGAGGGAAAAAACAAAAGGCAACGGAACAGCATTTTATGATTTGCTGTTTTAAAGAAAATGGAGATCCTAGAGGTTAGTAATAGAAATCATCCCCATGGGTTTATTACTCTAGTATTATGTGAAATGTATTGTGTTGTAAGTTATATTTTAAATCATTTTTTAAAATTGAAGTTTTAACTTTTTTATTCTGGGCTACTAAAAAGAGTTGCAGTATGATCAAAGTAAAAAACACTTAAAACAATAATACAGATGACACGGTGACGAACACAGAATGCATGGCGGTGTTCTGCTGATGGCACACAAGCATGCGACACGCATCCCATGAGACTCAGACATCCGCGTGGTTTGCTCTGAGCCCCGCTTCCCGGGACCTGGAAAAGCCCGAGCCACTGCCGGAAGCGCGTCCCTCAGGAGCAGCTCTGCCCGCTTCTGGGAGGCCCTCGGCTGCTTTGGGGGTTATGACGTCACTAGAGCTGAATTTTCCCACTGGCTTTTCCAGGCAGCCTGGTTCTGAAGGCTGCCGGCCTGACTTCACGTTCCCGTCTGACACATGAGGGCCAGAGGCTGTGTCCTTGGTGACAGTGTCGCTGCTTCCTAAAGGCTGTGAGGAAGATGAGCTGCCTGCGTGCCACAGTCAGCATCCTCCCCTTCCGTCGGCTGCGCGCCTTCTTCCCAGCAGCACTTTTGGGCAGGCGAGTTCCACCTGCGTCTCAAGTTCACGGACTAGCTGCCTGAAGACAGAGGAAAAGGGCGAGAATCTGTGAGACTATCCGGGACTGAGACACTGGGAAAAGGCATCCTGGGGAGCGGGGAGGAAGCCCAGCTCTGCTGGTTCAGACAGCCCTCCGGGGCCCGTCCTCACGGCAGCATAGAGACCGTCTCCAGAGCCCCCGCGATCCTGGCAGGGCTCCCGCCCCTTTGCCCAGCACCCGGTCTCCCAGCCGGTCAGCCTCCAGCTCCCCTCCCCTCGGACCCTCCTGCATCAGTCAGTCTGGGCGTCGCGTGCTCTCAGCCCTACAGTGCTCCTGCTTCAGTCGGTGACAAGCCCACCCACCCTCTCCTGCATCTCCCTGCAGCTGCCCTCACTGTCCCCTCCCGCAGGCGCCCAATGGTTGCCTCCCTGCTGCCCCACCCGCCCTGTCTGTGCCCCTTGAGCTTTTGGACTTGAGTCCCTGTTGTGAAGCCGATGCTGCCGCCACCCCCTCCCTCCCCCTCATGTCCTGGTCCTCCCACTCTGTCCTCAGCGCTTTCCACCAACTGACTTCCCGTCTTCCTTTTCCCGTTGTGTCTCTGCAGTGGAGCAGGGACACCACAGGGCAGGGGTTTCTGTTGGTCCCTTCCGTGCCCCTGGCCCTGGGACATTGCCAGATGGAGTGGTGTGGTGGAGGGTGGCACTTCCCCGGGAGGTGAGGAAGATGCAGGGTGTGCTGGGGGCATGAAGGCAGAGTCCCAGGGACAGAGCCCAGGACCCATAGCAGGGCCCCTGAGGACAGGCCGGGCCCAGGGGTGTTCCCTAGGAAGCAGAAGTAAGGGGACATTTCCCGGTTGGTCACGTGCAATATGAGCAGTGAAGATGCCTTCTCCAGACCCTGCAGAGGAGCCCCATCGGTAGTTGTGGTGGGAAGCCCTGTGTACCTCCTGCCCAGGGCCACGCACATCCTCAGCACACGCACAGTGGAAGTGAGGCAGAAGCATTAATGGAAATAGCGAGCCTTTGTGTGCGTAGCCGATGGGTGTGCAGGTAACTTAGAAGCACCGTAATGGGCAGGGATTAGTTTTTGTTAAGTTCAAAACCTTCACAGTTCTTTTAATGTAATTTATTTAAATTTAATGTAATTTATTTAAAAATGTTGTAGGCTTTGAACTTAATGATTCAGTGCAGTTTTGTTAGGTACTATTTTTACCTTCATGATAAAAACTTAGTGTATCACTTTTGGTAGCAATTACTTTCCTGCTTGATTCTAACCTTTTTCAAAGCTTGGTCCTCCAAAGCTTCATTACTCCTTATTCTCAGAGGCATTTTCCCTGAGTGTCAGGTTGTAATGCCTTTGTATCTGAAGAATAAAGACTTTCAGAAATAACACATGGCCCTTCCGTGGCACGGGTGGCCGGCAGCATTGTGTCCTCAGTCCTGGAGTCCTGGAGCTGGGTGAGTTGCCTGGTGCTTTTAGGCGATGCCCAGGTTTAGGGAGGCGTTTGTGCTGCTCTAGAGTAATGGGTCCTGTCAGAGCACCTCCCAGCTTCCTGGGCAGACAACTGGCTGACCGGTCATTACTTGCATGACGTCTTCTCCTAACACCCTTAGCAGTGTAAGGAAGCTGAGGTCAGATTTCATCTTATGTCCTCCACCTCACTTTCATCTCGACGCTACGGTTCTTCTACGCCAGCAGTGGGTATTTTAAGAATCCTGTGTACTGTGGGGTCTATCACGGAGTGACAATAACTCAGATTTGCCGCCTCTGGGCCCTGGTGGTTTGGGCGTGGACACAGACAGCAGGCATTGCTGTGGGGAACGGCCCTTCTTTGGTAAGACTGTGATAGAGGAAAATGTTTAGTAATATCCTGACGTCCTGAGTGCACAGAAATGAATATCGATCCTACTGGTAAAACTAGTTAAATAGCTTCTTTCTAGTAAGATAATACGTTTGGGTTTAAGGGTCTGAAACAGGAATTCCTTGTTACAGTTCATTCAGTTTTTAGGGTCATATAATCACTTTCTAGACAATAAAATGTGGCGCAAACAGATTGTTTGTTACCAGTGAGAAGATGTGGCTGAAGAGATGTCAGCTAATGGGGAATACTTTGGAGTAACCAGCTATAGAATATATTT